CACCATCCATCATCCATCCATCCATCCATCCATCCATCCATCATCCATCCATCAATCCCCCATCAATCCCCCATCCATTCACCATCCATCATCAATCCATCATCCATCTGTCCATCCATCATCCATCCATCATCCATCATCCATCCACATCCATCCATCCATCCACATCCATCCATCATCCTCCATCCATCCATCATCCATCAGTCCCCCATCAATCCCCCATCCATTCACCATCCATCATCAATCCATCATCCATCCATCCATCATCCATCATCCATCATCCATCATCCATCCATCATCCACCCCACCACCCCACCCTCCCCAAACCCCACCGTTCCACCCGCCGGTCCCACCTTGGCCTTGCCGGTGCTCTGCAGGATGTGCACCAGCGCGCAGGCCACCTCCTCCTTGCTCTTGACGCTGAGCACCGGCTCCAGCACGGCGCACAGCATGCGGTAGTTGTTGGTGACGTACTCGGCGAACTCCTTGTAGAGCTCCATGGGCAGGATGCTCATGGTCTGGAAGCGGCTCTTGACCCGCAGCGCCGGACAGCCGGCCTTGCTCTTGCTGCCGCTGGGTTGGCTCAGGGGGTACCACTGCTCGGCGAAGTGACGCCCGGTGACGCTGGCGATGGGGATGCTCACCATGCCCACGTAGTTGCTCTTGTCCTTCTTCCTCTTCTTGTCGGTGTCCTTGTAGAGGTGCAGGCGGATGGTGCGCACCGCCGGCAGGTTGTTGAACTCGAAGTGCTCGCCCCAGAAGACGTTGTCGGTGCGGGCCTTGCTGGTGGTGCGGGCGTACAGCATGTCGTCCAGGCACAGCTCGCAGTAGTAGCGCTTCTTGGGCGGCAGGTCGCGCGCCTCGATCACCCACAGCTTCAGCACGTTGTCCACGCGACGGCTGTTGTCCTGCGGGGCGGGGGGCCGGGGGTCAGCGCCCATGGACATCTCGTGGTCAGGACAGCGGCGGAGCGGCAATGCCCGTGGAGCAGCTCGGGACCGCAGCTGGGCTGGCCCTAGCCCGGCTGGATCAATGCCAGGTGGCCATCCCCCTTGCCACCAGGTGGTCATTGCCACCAGGTGGTCATTGCCACCAGGCGGTCATTGCCACCAGGCGATCATTAACACCAGGTGATCATTAACACCAGGTGGTCATTGCCACCAGGCGATCATTAACACCAGGTGGTCATTAACACCAGGTGGTCATTGCCACCAGGTGGTCATTGCCACCAGGTGGTCATTGCCACCAGGCGATCATTAACACCAGGTGGTCATTAACACCAGGTGATCATTAACACCAGGTGATCATTGCCACCAGGTGATCATTGCCACCAGGCGATCATTGCCACCAGTTGGTCAGTACCACCAGGTGGTCATTAACACCAGGTGGTCATTATCACCAGGTGATCATTAACACCAGGTGGTCATTAACACCAGGTGGTCATTAACACCAGGTGGTCATTATCACCAGGAGATCATTAACACCAGGTGATCATTAACACCAGGTGGTCATTAACACCAGGCGATCATTAACACCAGGTGATCATTAACACCAGGTGACCATCCCCACTGCCATCAGGTGATTGTGAGCACCAGCTGGCCACGAACACCTGCTGGCCACCAACACCTGCTGGCCATCAGCACCCACTGACCATCAGCACCCACTGACCATCAGCACCAGCTGACCATCAGCACCAGCTGACCATCTACACCAGCTGACCATCAGCACCAGTTGACCATCTACACCGGCTGACCATCCACACTGGCTGACTATCCCCATACTCACCAGTTGATCATTAACACCAGTTGACCATCGACACCAGCTGACCATCTACACCAGCTGACCATTAGCACCAGTTGACCATCTACACCAGCTGACCATTAGCACCAGTTGACCATCTACACCAGCTGACCATCTACACCAGCTGACCATCTACACCAGCTGACCATTAACACCAGTTGACCATCTACACCAGCTGACCATCTACACAAGCTGACCATTAACACCAGCTGACCATCTACACCAGCTGACCATCAGCACCAGCTGACCATTAACACCAGTTGACCATTGACACCAGCTGACCATCGACACCAGCTGACCATTAGCACCAGTTGACCATCTACACCAGCTGACCATCGACACCAGCTGACCATTGACACCAGCTGACCATCGACACCAGCTGACCATCCACACTGGCTGACTATCCCCATACTCACCAGCTGACCATCGACACCAGTTGACCAGGATCATTACCACTGCTTGACCATCCTTAGCCCAGGTGATGTCAACACCAGCTGACGATTGACACCAGATGACCATCAACATCATGACCACCCCCATCACCAACTGACCATCAATATCAGCTGACCATCAACACCTGCTGACCAGGCTCATCACTGTTGCTTGACTGTCCCTAGCCTGGCTGACGTCAACACCAATGGACCATCCCCGTTCCCACCAGATGACCATCAAGCACAGGCGACTGTCAACACCAGTTGACCAGGATCATTACCACTGCTTGACCATCCTTATCCCAGCTGACATCAACACCAGGTGACCACCTTCATCCCCACCAGTTAACCGCCAACACCAGCTGACCATCAACACACTTGACCATAAACACCATAACCACCCCCACCACCAGATGACCATCGATGCCAGCTGACCATCAAACACCGGTTGACCATCAATAGCCATTGACCATCTCCATTAACAGTCGACCACTAAAACCACCAGTTTACCATGAAACACCTGTTAACCATTGGCACCAGATGGCCAACCCCACCATCTGACCATCTCCACCAGCTGACCATCAAACATCAGCTCGCCATCAACACCATGACCACCCCCACGTGTTGACCATTCCCATGACCAGCTAATCATTAACACCAGTTGACCGTTTCCGTTCCCACCACTTGGCGACCCCGACGACCAGTTCACCCCCACATGGCCAGCTCACCATCACCAGCTGACCATTCCCAAGATCCACTGACCATCCCCATGACCAGCTGACCATCAAGCACCAGTTAATGATCCCCCATCCCCACCAGTTGCCCACCCCCAAGACCAGTTGCCCACCCCAATGACCAGTTGCCCACCCC